ATACCCTAGTATCTAGTAAGTATTAAAGCAGTATTTTTTTATAATTTTTTTTCTTTTTAATATTATTTTATTAATTATTTTTTAATAAGAGTATTTTACCGCGCAAGCAGCTGCTTATAGTTTTATTAATTAATACTTATTAAAAAAAGATAACTTTTTATTTTTTAAATATTTTTTATTATTTTTGCCTTTTTATACCTTTTTCCCTTTCTTAAAACTATTATTATTAATTATTTTATAGTATAGGTGTCCCAGCCGCGTAGCTAATAGTTTTATTAATTAATATATTTTATTTTTAAAACACGCTATATTATTCTTTAAATAAGTCTTTTTTTATTAGTAGTGGCATACTATTTATTAAAACCTTAGTTATTAACCTTAAGATATATTAAAATTAACCTTAATTAATTTTTTTTGTCCTGTAGCTATAATATAAAAATAACTTTTTTATTTTATAACTTTTATTTATAACTATTATTCGCAACCACTATTTATAATTACTATTTAAACCTTAAAATATAAAATATAGCTATTAGGAACTAGGATCTTACAGGGTTATAATTAATAAGGTAATATAATAATATAACTTATAAATATAAAGGATTAGTTTTACTTTACTAATATAATTAAAATACTAAGTATATTTTAATTACTTACTAGCTACCTATAACCCTAATTTTAATATTTAAACCATATTTTAACAAGCAAATAAATATAAAAAGTAAATATAATTAATAAGCCTATGTTAAATAATAAAGCCTGGAGGTATAAAAAGTTAATTTTATTTTACTTATATTAATTTTTAAAGTTATATTAGTAACCCACAAGCCTAATTTTATTAAAATATATTATAGTAAATAAATAAGAGCAGGGAAACTAAAGCAGTACTATGTTAATTAAAAAAATTTTATAATATTTTATTTAAGCTAAACCACTAAAATGCTTTTTTTATAAACCATGCCTTAGTTAATAAGTAAAACATGTTATAATTAGGTTTACTTATTTTTTACCCTAATATATAATAGCGCACTAATAACATGTTAAAGTATATTTAAATCACCTTTAGGACATAATATTTGGCTAATATAGCCTAAACTTAAGGTAAGATTTTTTATTTTTTAATACTTATTATTATTAAACTTTGCTAATAGTCTTGTAATTAACTCCTTAAAGATTTATAAAAATATTTAAGGTAAAAATTTAATTTTTATATCTAGCTAAATATTAAAAGTTAATAAATATAAAGCAAGTGTATTATTTTAATATTACTACTATTAAATAATAAAATAATATTATATTAACATGGGAAGTTATTTGCCAAGAACAGGTATGTTAAAAATAATACTTTTAAGTAAATTAAAAATAATTAGGGATAATTAAAAAATAAGAATAGGTATATTAGGTACGCCAGAAATATTTAATTTATAGGTATACTAAAAATATATTATTATTATACTAGAACTATCCTGCTATTATATTAAGAACGCCCCTTAATTTTTTTTATTTTTATAATTAAAAATTTTATTGCTAGTATTAAGCTAAAAGCTTAATAAAACCTTTTTTTACTAAGTAAAAAGTTATTTACTACTAAGTATAAAGTATATATTAAGCTATTAATTATATTACTAGTAAGCAACCTTACATGCAAGAATAAGCTAATTTTTAAAAATTAACTAATATTAAATTTAGCTTTACCTTTTTTATTAGGTATAAACTTTTTTTATTACCTTTTTATAATTTAGCAAAATGTGACTGTAGCAAAAATAATAAAGTATTTTTAAATTTAAAACTTTTAAAATTTTAAACCTAGGGTGCCCTAAAAATCCCTAAAACTTATTTTTTTTTTATTACATGCTACTAACCTTAAAGGCTTTACAAGCGTGATATTATAGCTTTATATTATTTAATAACTAGCTAATTTAAAAACTAAGGTTATACTATAATATTATTATAATTATTATAAAGGTAAGATTAATTAATAAACATGGTGGTAAAATTAATATGTGGTAGTAAAATATACAAGCTCCTGTTAATACTATTACTAATAGGTATATCCTGGTTAGTATAATAATTAGCTAATATTTTTAATAGTTATACCTCCCGCGTATTAAGTAATTTGCTAATATTTTAGTTAGTATCTCCCGTGTATTTACCCTTTTATTAATATTATTAATAATAACCTTGTGTATCCTAGAACAAACCCTATGTATTAAAAACAGGGATTTTTAGTATCCTAATATTTTTAATACTTTAAATATTTTTTATATCCCGTAAAAAACTATATATTTTAGGAAATCTTATTATATTATTTTATACTTAAATATCCTAACTACCTGGTATATACTATTAAGGCTAATATATATATAGCTATTAAAGCGCCTTGTTATATATTTAGGTTTAATATATTTTAAATTATTAATCCCTATTAATACTTAATATATTTAAATATAACCCTTAAAGGCGTCTTGCCTTTAATAACATTTTTTATATATATAATATATATTTTTATAATTTATTTTATTATTTAATATATTTTTATTTTTAATATATCCTAATGCTTAATATGCCTTGCTTTTTTATTATATATTAGTTTTTTTAGTATGCCTTGTAGTTTTAATGCGCCTTTTTACTATTAATTAAATTTATATATTTTATAAAGTATTAATTTTACGCTAGGAACTTACTTACCACATGGTACTTAAGTTACTAATATATTATTAGCGTGATATATAATTATATCTCCCTTGTATTAAAATTTTAGAATATTTTACTTTAAGCCCTAACTTAATTAACTAAACTAACTTTATGGCTTATTACTAGTTTATTATTTACTATATTAGCGTGCAGATTAGGGCCGGAGAAATTAGGATGTATTTAATACTAAATTACTAAATAATTTTATTTAATTATAAAGTAAAATATTTTACTTTAAGCCCTAACTTAACCAAACTAACTTTACACTAGTTTACTATATTAAAATATATTAATATAAATTAAGAATTTTAAATTTAAAATGCACTTGCTATGCTAAATTATTAATTAATTTTATTTAGCTAGAATATTTTATTTTAAGCCCTAAATAACTATAATTAAGTAATTAAATTCCCAAGCCAAGTAACTATACTTTTAAATAATTATATTTTTAAGTAACTACACTTTTAAATAACTGCACTCCTAAGTAACTATATTTTTAAGTAACTATACTTTTAAAACTATATTTTTAAGTAACTATATTTTTAAGTAACTATATTTTTAAGTAACTATATTTTTAAGTAACTATA